TTCGCAGAGGGGCGCTTGGGCCTAGATTCCGGGCGGGCCCCTCGCTCAGGGTGCAGGCTGGCTCCCAGGCAGCTCTGTAAGACGCCCAGGAGCCTGCCCCACTGCCTCTGGAGGCCAGAAGGCCAGGCCGAAGGGTGGCTCAGCCGCTCTCGTGCGTCTCAGCCCTCAGCGCTTTTGCCTCACCCATTCCCATCAACAGAGGGGGCCCGCGAGGGAACGCACTGAGCTCCCCGCCGGGGCGCCCGTCCGTAGAGGCGAACTAGGCGGTGGCCTGGGGCGCCAAGTTAAATGGGGCACCGAATGGTGGCGCAGCATCATCGAGGGGTTTGGAGGGGGGCGCCGATTGCGCGGCTCACCTAGGGCGCCGGTTGCTGGCAGCTCGTCTAGGGCTGTCCCTGGGCCCCCCCATCATGCTGATCTTGCTCCTCTCACACAGCTGGTATCCAGGGAGGGGTTATCAGAACCCGCCAAGCCCGAATACGGCTCCTCTGCAGAACTGGAGTCAAGCTGTCGTCCTAGCAACCGTCACAGGGAAAGGGCCAGAACCCGGCCAGGGCTGTCAATCAAAGCTGAGATTCACCTTTCTGCTCAGGTCCAGCTCAGAACCAGGGGCAGGCGGACATGACCCCAGGAGCAGCTTGGGGGCCTGCCTGAAACCTCCTCCGGTATTGGCGACGAGCAACACGGGGGTAAAGTGTCACCTGTACGATTTCTCCGCCCCCTCCCCCTGCCTCGATGGATTTGCTATTTACATTCCAAGGAGAGCGGGACCGTGTCAAAGCTTCTCTGAGCTGAAAAATGCACGTTTGGGTCAACGGCAATCCGTAGCCACGTTGTGACTAACTTGGCAACTTACTGTGGTAAAAAAAATGGAAAAAAATCCAAAAGGTTAAATTAAAAACTGCTCAAACGGACCAATCGGACGCCTCAAACTCTTCCGTTAGAAATGGCTCTTCGTTCCAAATCTTATTTCAATGTTATGGGAAAAAACGGCAAATATTTCAGGAAGAAGCCAAAACGTCCTGCTTCCGCTCAAAAGCAAGATGTTCCTCCTGCAGGGACTTCCCCCTCTGCTCCCCAGATCGCCAGTTCGGCCACCGGCCCAAACACTGGCCATTTTCAGAGCCCTAACTCCACTAGCCCCCCGCCCGCCCCTCCGCCTCGGTGCCATCTGCGCCCATACGGAGACACAGCGCCTGCCCTGGGGAGCGCAGACGTACGTCGAAGAACCCGGCCTTGCAGGGAGGTCACAGGAATCAGCTCTTCCAGGGTGAGGAACCTTTTTTGGGTCGGGGGTCACTGACCCACAGAAAAATCAGTCGGGGGCCACAAGTGAGAACAAAAAACCCAAACCACCCAAACCTCACTGACACAGCCCCCGACTGAGGAAACAGACACTGCCCACACTTCCCTTGCACCCCAGAACCTGGGGGGGGGCCCAAACCCTCTCCACACTTCCCTTGCACCCCGGTACCTGGGGGGGCCCCAAACCCTCTCCACACTTCCCTTGCACCCCGGTACCTGGGGGGGCCCCAAACCCTCTCCACACTTCCCTTGCACCCCGGTACCTGGGGGGGCCCCAAACCCTCTCCACACTTCCCTTGCACCCCGGTACCTGGGGGGGCCCCAAACCCTCTCCACACTTCCCTTGCACCCCGGTACCTGGGGGGGCCCCAAACCCTCTCCACACTTCCCTTGCACCCCGGTACCTGGGGGGGCCCCAAACCCTCTCCACACTTCCCTTGCACCCCGGTACCTGGGGGGGCCCCAAACCCTCTCCACACTTCCCTTGCACCCCGGTACCTGGGGGGGCCCCAAACCCTCTCCACACTTCCCTTGCACCCCGGTACCTGGGGGGGCCCCAAACCCTCTCCACACTTCCCTTGCACCCCGGTACCTGGGGGGGCCCCAAACCCTCTCCACACTTCCCTTGCACCCCGGTACCTGGGGGGGCCCCAAACCCTCTCCACACTTCCCTTGCACCCCGGTACCTGGGGGGGCCCCAAACCCTCTCCACACTTCCCTTGCACCCCGGTACCTGGGGGGGCCCCAAACCCTCTCCACACTTCCCTTGCACCCCGGTACCTGGGGGGGCCCCAAACCCTCTCCACACTTCCCTTGCACCCCGGTACCTGGGGGGGCCCCAAACCCTCTCCACACTTCCCTTGCACCCCGGTACCTGGGGGGGCCCCAAACCCTCTCCACACTTCCCTTGCACCCCGGTACCTGGGGGGGCCCCAAACCCTCTCCACACTTCCCTTGCACCCCGGTACCTGGGGGGGCCCCAAACCCTCTCCACACTTCCCTTGCACCCCGGTACCTGGGGGGGCCCCAAACCCTCTCCACACTTCCCTTGCACCCCGGTACCTGGGGGGGCCCCAAACCCTCTCCACACTTCCCTTGCACCCCGGTACCTGGGGGGGCCCCAAACCCTCTCCACACTTCCCTTGCACCCCGGTACCTGGGGGGGCCCCAAACCCTCTCCACACTTCCCTTGCACCCCGGTACCTGGGGGGGCCCCAAACCCTCTCCACACTTCCCTTGCACCCCGGTACCTGGGGGGGCCCCAAACCCTCTCCACACTTCCCTTGCACCCCGGTACCTGGGGGGGCCCCAAACCCTCTCCACACTTCCCTTGCACCCCGGTACCTGGGGGGGCCCCAAACCCTCTCCACACTTCCCTTGCACCCCGGTACCTGGGGGGGCCCCAAACCCTCTCCACACTTCCCTTGCACCCCAGAACCTGGGGGGGGGCCCAAACCCTCTCCACACTTCCCTCACACCCCAGAACCTGGAGGGGAGGCCCCAAGACTCTTCCCACATTTCCCTCGCACCCCAGAACCT